AAAAAAAATGGCCCCAGCCAATATCCTTCCCTTGGTTGCAACTAAAATGTAAAGTGGAATCCCATGCCTCTCTGTCCATAGAGGTACATTCTTTAAACCAGAGCAATAGGTAGATAGCCCTTCTCCAGACTGATGGATGGCCTGCGCCAGACGCTCACATCACCAAGCGAATGGGGGGGGGGGGGCATCTGTTTAGACGTTTCCATATTTGTTGAGCGCTAGGCGGGGGTGGGGGGTGTACATGACGAAACAAAAGGGTTGGTCGAGGGTGACGGTGAGGAACACGCTCGCTACACTAGGAACACAGAAGAGTTTATCCGTCAGACGTCCTGGTAAGGTGTCCTGGTAAGGTGAGGGATGGGGGGTGGGGGGCATCCGAACCCCACTGCTTGGATTCTGTTCGCCCCGTTACGTGGCGACTTTGCACCGGAGGCTCTTCTCTCTCCCTTGTGTGCACCTCCTTGGCAGGGGAAAACTAAAAAATCACCGACCGTGTGTGCGCGTCTCCCCTCGTTGTATGTCGCGCGTGTAGGTGATGAACTTCAGCGTGTTCGACAGGGATAACGGGCCCGGGGACGACGACGAACTCGGCGGCTGCGAGCTGCCGCTGTCCGTGCTCATGGCGGACGTCGAGAGCGCCCACAACATCCCGCTCTCCAACACATCAACCGGGAGTCTCCTCCTCAAGGCCATGTGAGGAGGATTTTAGGATGTGTACAATAGGATTGGTTTTCTTTTATCGTACGGAGGGTAAATTAGCACGTGCTGCCGCTGTTGTTGTCGTCATCTGTTAGCGTGCGCGTGTGTTTTGTTTTGTTGTCCGCAAGCGTGTTTGTGTCTACCACCTGTGATGCGATCTCGCCTTCTCGGACGAGGTGGCTCCGATGCGGGGCAATGTGTCATAGAGGGCTTCGCGTTTGTAGTGTAGTACTCGCATATGCAGAGCATATCTTCTTTGTACGACGTTTTGGGCGTTGTGTTTTGTGTGGTTGTGTTTCTTGAGAAAGCACTGACCGCGACACGGAGGCTGACCAATGAGTAGGCTTCTATTGTGCAGTAGCCTGTATCAAAACCGTGAGTGAATGCCACATGTCTCCCGCTCGCGCTTCTTTGTTTTGGTTGCATGGGCACGAAAAGTATGTGAGTCCATGGCCCATCTCTTCTCTGAGTGCTTGTGTTAAAGTTTTTGTTTGTTATTCGGTTGCGCTCGTGCGGGGATCACCAGGCTCGTGCCCCTGTTAGCGGGAAGAAATAGACGGTCAATGTGCCCATCTCTTCCTCCAAGTGCCGTTGTTCATTTTTAGATAATACGCCACATACAAACACAGGAGAAGCTGCCTGTTCGAGACATACCCACATTTTTTTTCTTCTTTTTTGTTCGGTTGCCGCTCGGTCGTGCGGGCATGGACCACCAGGTTCGTGCCCCTGTCAAGCGGAAAGACGCGGACGGCCCCCATCGACGAGGACGTTATCGTTAACGTTGCCTCCGACGACATCACGGACGACATCGTGGCGGCCGACTCCTACAAGAACCTATCGGCGGACGGCCAGCCGGTCAAGGCCGCCGCCGCGGCTCACAAGGCGGGCCCCGCGGTGGACCCCAGCACCCTCGCGCCGCACGCCGTTACCCCGTCCGACACGAGCATGGGCGTCGTCACCGTAATGGGGATGGAAGTAACGTGCGTTCAAAGCGAGAGCGAGAGCGAGAGCGCGAGCGAGAGCGAACGGTTTTCTTGTTTTGCGTTGTTGTGCTGGTTTGTTGCGATGCCTGCGATGGCTGGGAAATTGATGTGGATGGTCGCGTTGAGTGGTGCAGCACGTGTTTGGCCTGCCGGCGGCGCGCGTCTTTGTCTTGGCATCGCGTGGTGTGTGATGTCAGGCGGCGTGGCATCGGTTCAATCACGCGATGGGAAGAGAACCGCCGCGCCCGGCCCCGTGTTACTTTCAGCTGACTGTACCGTGTACATAAGAGATATTGTGTGCGCAAAAAACGGTCCAAGACTATGCGCGAAAAGCATGTTGTATTGTGCGAAGAACGGCACGCCTGTAACAGGGAACTATCTTTGTGTGGTGCGTGCCGTTTGAGGAGTAAGTACACCGCTGCTGTATGGGGATCTCGGTGTTGTGCCTGCCCAACTATTTTTTTTTTTCGTTCGCACTTGGTTGTCGTTGTGCTTGCGCTCTCTTCAGGGGGGTCAAGCCAGGGGAACGGTACGTGTCCGTCATCTGCGGCAACCACAAGCGCAAGACTGCCGTGGTGGAGGGCATGGCGGAGTTCGCCTGCCCTGAGGTGTTCAACTTCCTCATCCGGGGGGCCAAGTCGGCCGTGGTGGAATTCCTCCTCAAGGAGAAGGAGATGATCGGCAACGACAAGTGCCTCGGGTCTTTCAAGGTACAGCATTGTTTTTGTTGTTCTTGTTGTGCTTGTTCTTCTTGTTCTTCTTGTTGTCGTTCCTTGGGTGGACGCGGCGAGTGAAGTGCTCACTAGCTGTGGTCGCCGAACTGTGGCTGTTGTCCTTGTTCGTGTTGTCTTGCGGTCGTGCATATCCTGCGGTGCCACTTCCTGCGTGCTTGCCTTACCCTTGCGCGCATGTTTGTCAGCGTGCGTTTTGTGTGTGCCAGATATTTGCTTCGGGGAGTCTACCTACATGGTTGCTGTGCGCACGCACACGCTTCTGTGAACTTCGGGGTAATTAACCATGTCCTGTCCTCTCCGTTCTGCTTGCAGATTAACGTGGCCGAAGTCATGGCCAACGACGACAAGCTGGACGGGGAGTGGGAGTTTGCCGGAGAAAAGGCGAAGGGGGCCATGAAGCTGCGCTTACAGTAAGAAAAGCTAGCTGTCTTGAATGTCTTCCATAGTTCCGTTGATGACGTGTGACCTGTGACGCACGAAGTGAATTTATTCTCGTCCTGCTATATTCCCGGATTGCTTTGTTGGCTGGATGGGCTTACGCGTCGGGTTTCTGTTAGTCAAGAAAGTTGGGTCTCTCCCCGCTTTGAGACCAAGTTATTAGTACTGCTTGGGCCTCACTGCGCCGGCGGGAGAGGTATCGTATTGCAAACAACGGCATCCTTACGCTTTGCTGTATTCAGTCCCGTTACAAGTAGCCTCAAGGCAAGGAAAGACAGGCTATTTTTTTCTGGATCAACGCCATTGGGTAGTGCACGACGAAAAAGAAAGCTCGAAGAGCTAACTGCCGGCTGTGACGTTGCCGAAGCTCGAACAGCCCACACAGCTGATGTGTTTGGGCTCGGAGAACTCCGCGCACCACACCGAACCCAAAAGAAAAGATATCACATCTGTGGCATACAGCTCGCTGTCCTCTTTTGTTGCTCACCTGTCTTGTGCTCTGCTGCTGCTGCTGATGCTGATGCTGCTGCTGCGGCTGCTACTGCTGCAAATCGTTGTTCTACAGGTGGTCCGGCAGAGCCGGCGAGAATCCCTAAGTAGCTTCATTCGCGTAACGGCAGCCCTCGGAACGGCCAACGGCTTGTCTAAAGTTCTTCCTGTACACCCGGCTGACCGACCGGCCTATCGAAACAGCTTTGGGCGTGTATTCGTTCGGGGACATGGGTGTCGTGATTGTACCCCCTACAACCTCTCTCCTCTATAATAGTGAGGAAGGAATGAGGATGGATGCAACAAACCAACTCCCACTACAGAGCAGGCTTGATGATGGCCTGCTGCCGCGGCCGCAGTCTGTTGTGGGATACGTAAAAGAAGAGTTGTGTGATAGGTAGTATTATAGAACAACTGCGCGGAAACGGGTGGACGGACCCTACCTGTTGGTTGTACCCGATTCTGTAGATTAGGAAGGAGGGTTGGCACTTTGTTTTTGCGGTAATAGTACAGGAGAAGATTTGATGTTGTGCCTTTTCTTGCATGCGGTGCATTAGAGGTGTGTGCGTGTCGTTTTATTGTCCGTGGTACGCACCAGCCGAGGATACGGACCGCGTTTTCGCGCAATTCTACGTCTGTCTGTGTGATACGTACGTACGTTCAACAATCGCGCGAATATCGTCGCGCTTGAGCTTGCTCTTGTTGTACCATGCGCGTGTGTACGTAGTACTGCGGAAGAGTGGGGGTTCCTTTCACGTTTGTGTATACTAATAATCGACCCTTTCCTCAGCGTTATGAGAAGACAGATGTCATCGCGCCTCTTGCAGTGGATTTCTCGCGGGCAAGAGAACGGGTGTACCGACGTTGCCGCGCTTCATGGGCAGCCTTTAAGGCTCATTGCAGCAATGCTCTTCATTCTGGCAGTCTGCCAGTACAGTAGGTTGTTGTTAAGATGCCATTTACCTTGCATTTTAATCCCTCGTGTTTTCTTGGTTGAAAGGTTGTGACGGTTTCACGATAAGCGTTTGTTTGTCTTTTGTTGCCTGCTGCTGCATGGAATGCATTGAACACCTCATTCCCCAAAGGAGGCCCTGGTTCATACAAGCCTTGTGGGCTCTGCGCGGGGTATCAAGTGGTGGTGCGCACAGCAGTGCCGTTTAGACTAACAGCAGTGCACGTTTGTGCGCGTGCATGTCGTGAGCGGTTGCGGTAGTACAGCAGGTTGGCCGTTTCTTCGTGTTTTGTTGCCGGGCGTGTGCAGTCTTTTACGGTGCGAATCCTTGGAAGATGGAAAATTCGGCAGGGTGGGCGAAGCAAACAGCCGTTGATGACGGTTGTTCTTCGCGGGGGGTCATGCACGGCAGGGTGTGTGTGCGTGTGTGCCTCGCGCTAGGGCAGCTTTGTGCGAAGGATTCAGAGATGTTGCGTGTGCGTGAGCGCGCGTTCGTTGTTCGAGTGACTAGCACGACTTAGGCGCCGTCCTCTGGCCACACCGACCGATGTTACGGCGTTGATGATCATGGTGTGGTGTGAGCCCCCCCAATCGACTATCGTCTCAAATCTCGCCACAGCCGTAACTGACGGTGGTCTCCTGTGTTTGTTTTGGCTTTCCGAAGTATGGGAGTGAGTATGTTCTTTACGATCCTTTGAGTGCATTGTCTTGACTTTATTTCGACAGATTGAATTTGTTTGGGAGCGGGAGGTCTTCAGAATAATTAAATCTCCTCTCTGCTTCCCTCCAGTCCTTTCGAAACCTAGGTAAATGAGGCGAACGCTTGATTGATCAAGTGTGCAGGAACCGCGTACAGGTCCTCCTGCAGACAATGCGACACTCTCCGCACGATATATAATTTATCTCACATCCGCCACATGAATTCTTCTTCCTCCAAACTATAAGAGACCGCCACCATTTCAAGAGATTTCACTGCTCCGTAAACAAATGAGCCTGCCTGTCATGATCACTTTATTTATTTCGTCGCCCTAGCCTCGCAATTATTGGTGCAGCGTATGTCAGCATTCGGCTAAAAAACCACGAGAGTATTCGCGTTGTTGGTTGTCCCGACGTTCTCCGGGTAATTATTTTATAGCGCGGTCGACGCTACCAATACTGTACGTCGTAGTTCACGATGCGTCATGCAACACTTGACGCATCTATCTGCAAGAAGAACGAGGGTTTGGTACACCTCGAGGAGGAGGAGATTACACAGCAGTACATAACATGAGGTCGGGGTGTGAGGCACCACAACAATAAGCGGTATAACTTGGCGCGGAGCATATCGATCGGAGAAGAAGCAGACAGAGACTCCTGATGATGCGGGTAATAATGGAGACGCAGTCCAAATACAAGTAAGAAGCCGAAGAAGGGGGAACGCTGCCACACCACACCGCCGCCACGATTGACTGACTTGACTGACTTGAGGAGCAAACAACAGCAGTATCACCTTTCAAGCAGTAGTTTCAAGACAAAATCATGGGAGGGGCCGCGACGTCGAGGGAAGTGAGAGAGGTCTCGCGGGGGATGTTACTGTAATAGTACGTATAGAATACGTATAACACGTTGTTCGTGGGCAAGGCAACGGACATGCGTTCCCCCTCCACGGCGACAGGCAATACGGTGTGGTGTAGGCTCCGTACGAAACACGGCGCGGCGTTCGGCGCCGTTTGGCGCAATTGGGCGGCGGCAAGCGGCAGGACTTTTTTTGGGCTGTGTCCCCTGTCCCCGATCGTCGCTGTAGAGGCTTTTTTGTCTGTTGATGGGCCGTGTCATTCGGGTCTACGGAGAAGCCGGCGCGCTCGAGTTCAGCGTGGTACAAAAATACGTAGATAGGAGGGTAAGCCGCTCTCTCCCAAAAACCAATCTTCCATCCCCGTGGGTATTTGGCCAGGGCGAGGGCTAAGGCTGGGGGCTGGGTAGCGGGGCCAAGGCTAGGGTGCTCGCGATCTGCTGGGTCCACGCACTCTCTCCGTATTTTTGGCGTGCGTGTGAGCACGGAGAGGCAGGAGGAAAATTGCGCTCTCCGCGCGAGGATCTCGGGAGGGGAGAGTCAGTAACAATCGTAGAGGCCACAACGCACCCAAGAGCGGCGCGCGGCGAAAAGAATGAACCAACAACCGCAAGCCCGCGCGCTGCCCAGCTTCTCCGGGCTGTCCTCGGCCGTCAATGACGCGCGGGACTACGAGAACAGTCGGGGGTCGAGAAACGGCTCCGAGGTACAGCAGCAGCAGGACAACAACAGCAGCGCCGCCTCCAACAGCAACAACAATGTCGCCACCGGCATCAGCAGCAGGCGCGGCCGACATGCGTCTCCCACGTCGGAGACTCCCGCGAATGGGTTCGACGGCGGCGGCAGGAACCTGTCCGGCTCCGGCGGCGGCGGCGGGGTGCCCAGCAGCAGCAAGGCGAGCGGAGCCACGGGCGCCCTGCTGCTGCAGGATACCTTGTCGCCTCTGCTCGAAGAGGTCGACGCGCTGTTCGAGCGGAGCAAGGACATCGTCGCTAGCCTCAAGGCGCCCGGCGGGGGAAACAAGCCGCAGGAGGACGATGTGAGTACATACACATGTGTATATATGCGCACTATTATACTGCTGCCTACGTCGACATGTTCCAACGGTAAGGTTTTGAGTAGTCTGCACGAACCGCTGCTGCTGCGGGCTTGTTGTGCTGCACCAGCAGAGAGGGTCTCGTTTTCCGTCTGCCCGCCGCCATGCGGTGTTTGTTTGAGCCGGGTGAAATGGCTAGCTGAAAAGTTGAAAAATTAGTGTTGATCGTGGACTACTGCTGTGTTCACCAGTGTATGTAGCATCTACGCATCAAATTCGCGTCCATATAGACTAGACTACACTGGCTGTATGCGGGCTCTGACAATCCTCTCAAGTCTCTTTGTTCGTTCGTGTGTGGAGGTAATATATGTTGTAGTGGCACCCGTTTGTGCGAATCAACGGAAAATACCAATGTTCTTGTAAGAGGACCGGGCCTCATGTACAGACCATGTAGATTTCGAAAAAGAGACTTTATGAGAATCAGCTGCACAAAAATGCGCCCAAAGCGAAGTCCCACGTTTTCCTTTTCACCGTCGTCCCTCCCACTGCTGTGAAACGACTGAATGAAATAGCTCCCCGCTGCAGTTCGTCTCGCTCCGTGAGAGGCGACTCAAGAAATGCGTTGAAATGCTAGAGTCGGAGTTGTAAAATTCTATTTTTTTCAAGTCTTGTCATTCACAGCGGTCCCTGAAATATCATTGTTTGACGGGGGTCACTACAAGCAGTACATGCGTTCCCTGCCTGCTGCAAAACATGCATTTTGCCTAGATATTCTCGAAAATATATACGCTCTCTAGAGAAAAGAAAGAGTATGGCAAGGATTTTCCACCTCCGGGTTTATTTTCTACTTAAATAGAAACGAAATGCGCCCTGAACTTTACGATTGATGTTGAAGATCCAACCCTTCTTCGGAATCATCCTTGTAAAAGGACAAAAAGGACACCCACATACAGCGCTGATCTCGACAGGTCTTCTGACGACACAATGTGCGAGACATTCTGGTGTGGCGTTCACAAAATGTTTTCATGAATACCGCATAAAGGTGGAGGTGGAGATCATGGAGAGGATGGCAGAGGCGTGGCAGGCCATCGAGGCCAAGAACGCTAGACACGACACGTCTCACAAGCTTCACAGAGAGAAGCCAATGTTCTGCATGGACAGGTTTGTGTGAATGTGTGCATTTCACGGCAGTTTTTTCAATGCTGTTTTTTTATGAGCGGGTCGGGCGTTTACGTGGTGGGAGTGCACTACTGCTGTTGTTACTCTCCGCGCGCGAGCTAGATGGCTGCTAGCAGCAGGTTGTCCAGCACAGCCGAGACTGTCGACGGTCGTCAACACCTAAGCCACGACGTACAGGCCAGCCTGAAGAGCTGCATACAGCAGTAAACTCACCGATTTCCAGCGGCATGGCGGGAATAATAGTGGGCACATAATGTTACCACGACGCCGCCGCCTCTTACGGTGCAACGCACTGGTATGTCCGTATCACGCTTGTTGGGCGCCGTGTTGCTGCCCCCGATTGTAACCGTAGCCCCAATCTTTGCCTGAGTCGTCGACCTTCGTTTCGCCCCGGTTTGCCGCACTACTCTCTGTGCCTCTCGCTGTCGGCACGACAACCTTTTTGACAGCCTGGGGAAGCGGATAAAGGCGGCGCTTCTTTGCAAGACCCTTCCACCGAACGACAACCCTGCCGTGTACGTGAATGGCTCTAGCAACGCCCCGAGCCGCAACCTCGTAACGGCCATCAAGCTGGCCGGCTACGTGGTGCACTGCGGGACGGGGGGCAAGGTGTCGGCGGTGGACGGTGATGGCCGCGAGGTGACAGCACATGAAAGAGGATGGCTTTCTCAACACATGCAGCAGTCAGTGCAGCAGTCAGAAGCAAGTGCTGTGTTTATCCGCTCTCTTGACGAAACATGTCTCTGGTCTCACGTTCCAATCTTTCATTTGGTCCTCTTTTATTTCTCGGCGACGGCGGTGTTTCGATGCGCTTCGGGAGTTTACGAATGGCCAATGGCGATGCACACAAGGTTGCGCTGCCGTCTCTGTGCATGATTGCTCCTTCCTTCCCCGCCCCCACCCCGCACACATCTGCGGCTTAACTTCCACGTGGTGGCTTGGCTTGCCGTTCGTTGTGTGTGTACCGTGGGCTATTGTCTTTGGCAGCCCCCGTCCAAGTACACCAAGGAAGAGTTCCACAACAACGTCCTGCCAAGGGCAGCGGAGAACCAGCCTCCACGCATCTTGAACGAGCTGAGGCAGCTGTCGTGCCGCCTCGTGGCGAGCGGCATCGCCAAGGGCCTGCTGAAGCAGGAGGATCTGCCGGAGATCCGCAAGATCCTCATCAGCCGCTTTGAGGTGAGTCTCTCAGTGCTGCTGCGGCTGCGGCTGCGGCTGTGGCCTGTGGCCTCTGGCTGTTGTTTTCCAACTGCTGCTGGTAGATGTGAGGACGAGATCGTGCGGTGTTCAATTGGCCTCTATTGCCTTATAGCACGTGCGCAGCACCGCAAGCAGCGCTTGCAATGCGCGCCATGTCGTACAGCACTGCATGCCGACGACATTTTCGTTTTCTGCCCCCGTGACAAGACTTGTCCACCGGTGTCTCGCTGAAAGTGGTTTGGTTTATGCAATGCCACACAACGTTGCGGTACGCCTTACCGGCCGCGTATTGTTTTTTGTAAGGGGTTGCGATGATGCCAAACGTTGCCAGCCTTTTGATGCAGGTGATCACCCACAGCATTCCCTTTATATAAGGAAAGCCTCCCCCGTGTAAGTCGCTACGCTGAAGCACGACGAGCTGCATGGCAGCCATGCAGCGCCAGCGGCGCACGGTTTGTTCCGTGTTGCGATTGCGGTTGCAACGCCGGTGCTTACCTCGCTCGATGGGATGGGATGGACGTGTATGTTCCATCGCTTTATTGAAGTAAATTTTTGCTGCCCTGGGAACATTTTGCATGGGGGTGTAGGACGGCGGGATGCACTTCCTGGCCGGCGGCGATGCAGCTTTCGCGCGATTCATCGGGGTGACGGCCAACGCTCACAAGTTGCTCGAGCGGGGCGACATCGACGACTTCGTGGCCTTCCACGAGCGGGTGGTGAAGCTCGTGGGCATGTGTCGCAACAGGGTTCGCCGCGCCGCGTATGCGACGTCGAAGAGCATGCTGGTGAGTTGTTATTCGTAGGCCGTATTTCTGTCTCGGTTCTGTTTTTGCAGCTACAACCGCCTTGTAGGGATAAGACATGCTGTGGCAAGGGCACGGGCGTGGTAACTCGCCCCTCGTGCGTGGTAGCGTTCCGTGATAGACTGGTGTTCGTTCCCGATGAATTCTTTTTCGCGCCCGACATGTCGCGTTGTCCTGTGTGTCCCTGACGAGCAGGCGCAAGCAAACGGCAATGGCCGCTTCGTCTCCGTCAAGTCGTCAAGCGCGTCTCGTCGCAAGTCCGCGCCGCTGCCGCAACTGCCGCCGCCGCCGTCGCAGCAGCAGCAGCAGCAGCAGCAGCAGCAACTACATCATCAACAGCAGCAGCTGCTGCTGCAGCAGCAACAACAACCACCAACGTCGACACCGGGGTTGATGCCATGGCGAAACGGAGACCCACCTGTGGCGATGCCCGTCGCTCCGGGGGTACACGGTCGAGCGCCACCACCACCACCACCACCGGGACTCCCTGGCCACGGGCAACACGATGCCCTCACCGCTACCGGCGCATCCCCCGGAGCTCCCTTCGGGAAGCCGTTGCCGCTGGAGAACGGGAGTAGCGTGGGGTTCGTGGGGCCGCCTTCTGCTGGGTTCAACAACGGCAGCGCTATCATCCGAGCCGCCATGTCGATGCTTCCCCCCGGCGGCATGCCGACCCCTTCGCACGACCCGAACGACCGCTCGCAACAGAATCAGCAGCAGCAGCAACAGCAGCAGCAGCAGCAGCAGCATCAGCAGATGCCGTTTGTGTCGCAAGCCCCGGGCGTGGCGAACGGTGGGGTCGCTGCTGCTGCCGCCGCCGCCGCCGCCCCGCCACCGCCGCCGTTCCACGACCACAACGCGCTTAGCGCCGCCGCTCCCGAGATCTTGACACAGATGGGCTACCGGCGGGCACCCGCGTTCGGCCCCGAAGGGATCTGGGGCGCCAATGACGCCGGTGCCAGCGCGGGGGGGGGCCTCTTGCTCTCACGGGCCTTCATCTCCTGCAATCTATGTGGAGGTGGTATGA